GAGCGTTCAGTGAGATGTTGCAGTACCGAACGCTTCCACTAGAGGAAACTCGACTCACACTCGTTTATAATGCGTCATTTCTGACCGCGAGGAGCACAAGTGGGACTATTGTTTACAGGACCATTTAACCTTTTTGAATCATACCCATGATTTTTGTGTGTGTGTTCACACAGAAAGTGCCGAAACCTTTACCAAGTTTCGTACAATTTCAATGGAGTAAAAAAATTCTACAAAAATAAAATGACGGTTAAAAATGACCGAACCACACCAGAGGGATAAACGTTAGGGTTAAGTTATTTATGTTTTCTTAAATAGATTTAAAACTTTACGATCTTGTAGACATTACTGTTTTTAAAATAAATATAATATTTAGCTATTCAATTCTAAAGGACTTTGAAGACCTTAAAAACTCAAGAATAGACAAAAAAACAACACTGGACCCCATTGACTTTCATTACATGGACAAAAAAACAGATTCAGGTTTGGAACGACATGAGGAGTAAATGATGACAGAATGATCATTTTTAGTGGAAAATACTACAATCTAAACTCTACAAGAGTAATGAGCTCTATAGAGAGCCTAAGCCCCTCCCCTTCCGGTCGACCGGAAGAATATTGTATGGTACTCAATGGTGAGAGACAACAAATATTTTGATCTCGTTTGAATTGTGCCCTGAATTACACATATGATGTTTGTCAATTTAAAAGATACATTTTAAAGTCAAGAAAGTCGCAGTTTGATGTAAAACTGTTGAGGTATAAGATTGTGAAAATACGAAATTACAAAGACTACAAACCCAAAAGGCGCACACTTTCTCTCAATGAGTGAAGCTAACTTTACTGAAGCTAACTTTACTGAAGCTAACTTTACTGGAGCTAACTTTACTGGACTTTACTGGAGCTAACAGCTAACTTTACTGGAGCTAACTTTACTGGAGCTAACTTTACTGGAGCTAACTTTACTGGAGCTACTGTTACTGATGCTAACTTTACTGAAGCTAACTTTACTGAAGCTAACTTTAAAGCTAACTTTACTGGAGCTAACTTTACTGGAGCTAACTTTACTGGAGTTAACTTTACTGGAGTTAACTTTACTGGAGTTAACTTTACTGGAGTTAACTTTACTGGAGTTAACTTTACTGGAGTTAACTTTACTGGAGTTAACTTTACTGGAGTTAACTTTACTGGAGTTAACTTTACTGGAGTTAACTTTACTGGAGTTAACTTTACTGGAGTTAACTTTACTGGAGTTAACTTTACTGGAGTTAACTTTACTGGAGTTAACTTTACTGGAGTTAACTTTACTGGAGTTAACTTTACTGGAGTTAACTTTACTGGAGTTAACTTTACTGGAGTTAACTTTACTGGAGTTAACTTTACTGGAGTTAACTTTACTGGAGTTAACTTTACTGGAGCTAGCGTTACTGATGCTAACTTTACTGAAGCTAACTTTACTGATGCTAACTTTACTGAAGCTAACTTTACTGGAGCTAACTTTACTGATGCTAACTTTACTGAAGCTAACTTTACTGGAGCTAACTTTACTGATGCTAACTTTACTGATGCTAACTTTACTGATGCTAACTTTACTGATGTTAACTTTACTGATGCTAACTTTACTGATGTTAACTTTACTGAAGCTAACTTTACTGGAGCTAACTTTACTGGAGTTAACTTTACTGGAGTTAACTTTACTGGAGTTAACTTTACTGGAGCTAGCGTTACTGATGCTAACTTTACTGAAGCTAACTTTACTGGAGCTAACTTTACTGATGCTAACTTTACTGAAGCTAACTTTACTGGAGCTAACTTTACTGATGTTAACTTTACTGAAGCTAACTTTACTGGAGCTAACTTTACTGATGCTAACTTTACTGATGCTAACTTTACTGATGTTAACTTTACTGATGCTAACTTTACTGATGTTAACTTTACTGAAGCTAACTTTACTGGAGCTAACTTTACTGGAGTTAACTTTACTGGAGTTAACTTTACTGGAGCTAACTTTACTGGAGCTAGCGTTACTGATGCTAACTTTACTGAAGCTAACTTTACTGGAGCTAACTTTACTGAAGCTAACTTTACTGGAGCTAACTTTACTGATGCTAACTTTACTGAAGCTATCTTTACTGATGTTAACTTTACTGATGTTAACTTTACTGATGCTAACTTTACTGATGTTAACTTTACTGAAGCTAACTTTACTGAAGCTAACTTTACTGGAGCTAACTTTACTGGAGCTAACTTTACTGAAGCTAACTTTACTGAAGCTAACTTTACTGAAGCTAACAGCTAACTTTACTGGAGCTAACTTTACTGGAGCTAACTTTACTGGAGCTAACTTTACTGGAGCTAACTTTACTGAAGCTAACTTTACTGGAGCTAACTTTACTGGAGCTAACAGCTAACTTTACTGAAGCTAACTTTACTGAAGCTAACAGCTAACTTTACTGAAGCTAACTTTACTGAAGCTAACAGCTAACTTTACTGGAGCTAACTTTACTGGAGCTAACTTTACTGGAGCTAACTTTACTGAAGCTAACTTTACTGGAGCTAACTTTACTGGAGCTAACAGCTAACTTTACTGAAGCTAACTTTACTGGAGCTAACTTTACTGGAGCTAACTTTACTGGAGCTAGCGTTACTGAAGCGAACTTTACTGAAGCGAACTTTACTGAAGCGAACTTTACTGAAGCGAACTTTACTGAAGCGAACTTTACTGAAGCGAACTTTACTGAAGCTAACAGCTAACTTTACTGAAGCGAACTTTACTGATGCTAACTTTACTGAAGCTAACGTCTGTCATTGTTTCTATAGTCTTGCGTTATAATCGTAACGTTACGCCGTCATCGAGTGTTTTGTACCAGACTGCACACACACGAGCAGCGGATCTCGCTCGTTGTTTCGCTTCCCGGGAGATGTCGTTCATTGAGCGATTTTCACATAAAACTAAATGTTACTCTTCTGTTTTATGACAAACTGCGACTTTCTTGACTTTCAGAATTATCTTTTTAAATTGACAAACATCATATGTGTAATTCAGGGCACAGTTCAGACGCCATTGACTACTATACATATTTTTCCCGAAATAAGGTCCCATGAGCCGGAAGCGGAGGGGAGGGGCTTAGGCTCTCTATACGGCAAGTCTTTCATTCATTGGCTCCACCCACTTTTTATGCAACTCACACTGATTGGGCAGTTCTGATGTCATGCTGATGATTGACAGATACGCTTGGTCGTCTCCCATTCTGATGAAGTAAAAAATTCAACACATTTTTTATTTATTTTTTTACATATTTTTACTCGAAGAGCACAGAGTTTTCGACACATTAGAGTTACATTGAGAGGGAAGCGTCCCGGAAACTGATTCAGTGCAAACGAGTGTGACAGATGACATCACTCAGTGTTTCTGCATCATGACATCACACTAGCCATAACATTCGTTCGTTTGCCTCAATAATTACACTTGGCTTCGGGATAGATGTCTGTCTTTTATATATTGATCAGTGAAAGTATTTACATCATGTCCTCGAGTGTTTGATTTGAATACGGCGCCCTCTACAGGACATACACACCTTTGCACTTTATCAGGTTCTAGCTCGAGCTTGACTTGTTTAAAAGCTCATCTTTCTTGCTTTTAATTATGCCTTTACCAAAAATGTATTAATTAACAAGTCAATGCTTTTGCATTTCCCCCCGAAAGAGCCTTTAGGGATTAAAAGTAATGTTGCAAAAGATCATATGAAAGTTTGATGCATTCAGTGTGTTGTAGTGTCGGTGTGTGTCCTGATGGGGGCGCCATCGCTCCACTGAGGGGACATGACACACACACTGAGCTTTGATCAGTGTGTGTAACCTCTATAGAGGGTCAGAGGTCACCGGTCAGGTTCACTCTCTCTGACTGAGGAGATTCACTCTCTGTGCAATTCTGAGTCGAATCAAATAATGAGATCATGCATTAAATATTGAGAGGGAGACGAACACACACTCTCACACACACACACACACACACACGCGCGCGCGCACACTCTCTCTCTCTCTCTCTCTCACTCACTCACTCACTCACTCACTCACTCACTCACTCACTCACTCACTCACTCACTCACTCACTCACTCACTCACTCACTCACTCACACAGACACACACACTCTCATACACACACACAGACTCGCACACACACACAGACTCGCACACACACACAGACTCGCACACACACACAGACTCGCACACACACTCTCTCTCTCTCACACACACACACACACACGCACTCACACTCTTGTCCTGTAACAGATGTGATGTCAGCAGGTGATCAGTGTGAGTCACGGGTCACCATGGTTACAGGTTGCCGCTCTTCTCGGGTGGATGGATGAACGGTTCGTTGTTGTCATGGCAATAGTGAAACACTACATAGATTAAATGATCACTTTCTGTGACATCATCACTACAGGACTATCTGCTCCATACGTCACCATGACAACCTCAGAGATCAAGAGTGAAGTTGATCAACAAGCACTTTCTCTTTCACTGACCGGTTTATTTTCCTCTGTTGATCAATCTCACTGTTAAACATCGTCTGAGACATTGAGTGAGTGTGTGAGTGTGTGTGTGTGTGTGAGTGTGTGAGTGTGTGAGTGTGTGAGTGTGTGAGAGAGTGAGAGAGTGAGAGAGTGAGAGAGTGAGAGAGTGAGTGAGTGAGAGGCAATAGACACTGTTTAATGTCTACAGGAGACGAAGGAAATGTTACAAGTGTATTCATATTTCAACTTATATATATATATATATATATATAGATGTCAAACATCATATGAACGATATTTAGACTAATGTCTTTGTGAGAATAGAGTGTGTGTTTTTTTTTTTTTCAAAAAACAAACAAAATGTTTGTTTTTTTTCATCACGCTGTACTTTCTGTAGATCTGCAAATAGATTCTGGCACGAGTTCGTGTTTGTTAATAACAAGCTGATCTGTTCTCTAATCTCTAAAATGTGTGTTTAGCCATCTCTCTCTCTCTCTCTCTCTCTCTCTCTCTCTCTCTCTCTCTCTCTCTCTCTCTCTCTCTCTCTCTCTCTCTCTCTCTCTCTCTCTCACACACTTTCTTTCTCGCTCGCTTTTACTTTATGGCTAATTTTCTCTGGTTTCCACACACACACACACACAAACACACACACACACACACACACACACACACACACTTTTCCTCAAACTGTCTGTGGTTTGTCCTCAGGGTTTCGATATGCCCTGGAATCATCACCTCCGGACTTTTTTTCTGGTAAAAAAAAAACAACAAAACAAAACAAAAAACACTTTAAATGCATCAGATTTAAAAAAAAAATGCATTTGTTGTTTATTAACTCATGACTTCTAACATATGAACTTAATACAAACTAAATCCTCATCAATAAAACAACGTCACATCTCTCTTTGATCCATTGATGAACTGATATTTTCATGTGCTAGTACTTCAATGTGTTGTTTTTGTAAACATAACTTGACAGTACATTTGATGTTTTGTTCTACAACGTAAATTAAACACACCTATAGTGAAAACGTGAATTTAAGCAGTTGTGTTAATTTTTTTTAAACATACTTTAATAAGTAGATAAGACAGCTTCAGGTGTGTGTGTGTGTTCAGTGTCAAAATGTCAAAGTATCATCAGGTTATGTTTACCACAGGCTTTATTTGACATTATTAAACCCCTTTATAAAAGCCCAGAGGAAAATCCCAAAGGATTATATATTTATATATATATTATATATTTCTTATTATATTTAATATATATTCCTTCCATTGCTGTGTGCTTTGCCCTGCATTAAAGGACAGGAACTGTATTAGGCCTTGTCTCTTTAACATATTTGAAGTGCACTGACAACATAGTTTTATATAATTAGTTTAATAATTAGATTCATAAAAAAAATAAAAAGACCTTTACATACTATACATGCATACAGGTGAAACTCGAAAAATTTGAATATCGTGCAAAAAGGTGAAACTAATATATTATATAGACTCATTACATGCAAAGGGAGATATTTAAGCTTTTATTTGTTATAATTGTGATGATTATGGTTTACAGCTTATGAAAACCCCAAATTAAAAATTAGAATATTGTGAAAAGGTTTTCTAAGCCATAATCATCAAAATCATAACAAATAAAGGCTTGAAATATCTCACTTTGCATGTAATGAGTCTATATAATATATTAGTTTCACCTTTTAAGTTGAATTACTGAAATAAATGAACTTTTGCAATGCTTTTAATGACAAATGCGGAACAGTTAGTTCATGCGTTCATGACCTCAAGGCTAAATTATTGTATTCTTAAATTATCGAATAATAATTCGACTTCTGGGTTCTGACGTCACACTTGCACCACTCTATTATAAGCAGCTTGACTGTAATTAAACTACTTTAAATATGATTTAAATGCATTGTGGGATTCTTCTAAGTACTATATCAAATTATACATTAAAGGGGTGTTATATGTAGAGTTCAGAAACCGGTGTTATTAGTGACACCGGTGGCCGTTTCGTGAACTGCAGCTTATCACACACACACACACACACACACACACGCAACATATTAGAGACTGAATGTGATTCAAAGCCTCGATTAGATGAATATGTAAACAATGTGCTGCATGGTTTCCTCTCAATAACAAAAAAATCACACTATGAATGTTTGATTATGAAGTATTTAGGAGGCTATACTAGATTTAATAAACAGGGAAAATTAGCATGATCTACTGATGACGCGCTAATTAAAGAACAGACGCAGCCGGATAATTTCCTTAAGTTTATTTATATAGCACATTTCATACACTATGGTAATTCAAAGTGCTTTACACAGAAATGATTTAAAATAATCTCAAAATAATAGCAAGGAAAATTAAAACGGTTATAAAAGGAATTAAAAGAGTAAAAACCACAATCTACCAAGAGCTGTGCTAATTAGCGTCTGGTTTAGGACATTTTTTGGGGGGGGTTGTAAATAATGACGCAAACACCAGTAAATGGACGAGCGCAAACTTTAGTAAATCAAACACTAAATAAAAAAAATAATAAATTTTGCGTCTGAAAGGAAAACTCCTGAAAAAAAAATTAATATGAGCTGCAAAAATAACCCTTTTTTAAATGCCAAAAGAGTAAATCTGGCCCTAGTTTGAATTAATCCCCTTTCTCTGCAATTCACTGGCATGGCAAATTAGTAGGGCTGTCAAATGATTAATCACGATTAATCACATCCAAAATAAAAGTTTTTTTTACATAATATGTGGGTGCACTGTGTATAATTATTTTGTATATATATATAAATACACACACATGCATGTATATTTAAGAAAAAAATATTATTTATATATAAAATATTTATATTTATATATAATATAAATTATATCTATATACAGTATATACATGAAAATATTTCTGAAATATATACAAGCATGTGTGTGTATTTATATATATATATATAAAATAATTATACACAGTGCACCCACATATTATGTAAAAAAAACTTTTATTTTGGATGTGATTAATCACGATTAATCATTTGACAGCCCTACAAATTAGGTAATCAAAATTACACCATTATGATAGTTTGATAGAATATATTTGAGACTATAGTTTGAATTAATATCTTTTTTGGGACGAGGGATTGACAGAACGGCACTTTCTTTGTAACCCTGAACATTGTATAAGCATTAGTTTCATGTGTCATTGACCAGAAGAGAGTCTCTCGGGAGTGTAAACATCACACCCCCTTTTGATTTCCCCAGCAAAACGAGTCCTTCACACACACAAAATCAGTCTACAGCCTTTCATAGACAACATGGGAAGTCGTAGAAGGTCTAATTTTTTAAGTTTCGTTAGCTGTTCACATATTGGCAATACAAAAAGCAATTAATACATGAAAAATCTTACATATAGCCTCTTTAATAGGGGGAGGGGTAATAATACTTTAAAAAATTGTCCCGATGTTTTTGCATATATGTTTAGGTGATATAATGCAATAGTACAAAACACGTGCTCATAAGTAAATCTGAAGGTAATGTGAACAGAAAGCGAGGGGTTAAATGAAGAAGAGCGAGAGAAATGCGAGCTAATGACTTTGTTTTGATGGAGTGTGTTATAAAGCAGAAGCCAGCAGTGACACACACACACACACACACACTCCTACATAAAGCCTTCACCCTCATTACATCTGCATAAACAAGACATTTAGGAGCTCCGCTTCTCAAACAGGCCTCAGTGTGTGTGTGTGTGTGTGTGTTCATCTCATGCTTTCATGTCTAAAGTTGGTGTCTGCATTTCAAAGCGAATCGAGACGTCTGGAGACGTGATTATAAGAGCATTATGTGTGTTTGAGACGCGTCCACATCGTCACTCCCACACGCCACCGTCTCAAACATGTTCACACACACACTGCTTCTCGCTCCATCATTTGGTGAGTCATCATTGGCTCTTATCGAGGTTGCCGTGGATACTAACAGCATCCGTGTGTTTAACTATAAATGCGGAGGGTGACAGAGATGCTTTCCCAGACCTGTTGTTTATGAGAAGAATAAAGAAATAATGTTTCCAAAATGACTGTTATTGAGTTTAATGGAGTTGCACTCAAGCACGTACACACCTACTTGATTTTATCATTTCACTGCGAAACGTAACTATATTATTCTCAGCTCTCTATATAAAGTACTGAGTTAAAGTACAGCTGTATGTGCAACTTTATCTGCATACATAAAGTATGCATACAATTATATATATATTAGGGCTGTCAAACGATTAATCGCGATTAATCGCATCCAAAATAAAAGTTTGTGTTTGCATAATATATGTGTGTGTACTGTGTATAATTATTTTTAATACATAAATACCCACACATGCATGTGTATTTAAGAAATATTTGCATGTATATACTGTACATAGACTGAATGTAGCCTATATATAATGTATATTTTATATAAATATAAACATTTTATATATAAATAACATATCTTTCTTAAATATATACATGTGTGCATTTACACTACCGTTCAAAAGTTTGGGGTCAGTGAGAATTTTATTTTTATTTTTTGGAGGAAAGAAATCAATACTTTTATTTATCAAGGACAGTAAAGACATTTATAATTTTACAAAAGATTCTATTTCAAACAAATGCTGTTCTTTTGAACTTCCTATTCATCAAAGAATCCTAAAAAAAAAAAAAAAAAACTGTACAACTGACAGACCAACAACTGTTTCAACATTGATAATAATAATAAATGTTTCTTGAGCATCAAATCCTCATATTATACTGATTTGTGAAGGATCATGTGACACTGAAGACACTGACACTGGTGATGCTGAAAATTCAGCTTTGATCACAGGAATAAATTACACTTTACTATATATTCACACAGAAAACAGCTGATTTACACTGGAATAATATTTAATACTATAACTGATTTTTGTTGTATTTTTAATCAAAAAAGCGCAGCCATGGTTAGCAGAAGAGAATTCTTTTAAAAGTATTTAAAATCGTACCGACCCCAAACTTTTGAACGGTAGTGTATATACAAAATAATTATACACAGTAAACACACATATATTATGCAAACACAAACTTTTATTTTGGATGCGATTAATCGTGATTAATCGTTTGACAGCCCTAATATATTTATACTATATAGTAAATATCAAAGGCTTGATTGTTTATATCGTCGCAAAATGTAACTATAATATTGCACAGCTCTTTATTTAAAGTCTCCCTGTAGTCAATTATTTTATCCCTTAAAACTCATCTTTGATCACCAAAATGACATTTAAACGTTTTTTCCGTGAAAAACTTTCTTCATGCCTTAAAATATCTTGAATGTAACTCTTGCCTCATTAAGTATTCGCGGTTCTATGAATATGCAACTGAGCCCCGCCTCCACTCACTCCCTCAGCTCAGAGATCCACTGGTTGACGATCACACGTTGATCTGATTGGTTACAAGGTCGTTTGTGACGTCAGAAACACCAGCGATTTCAAACCGTGTGTTTGAGACTGTCTTTGGTTCACTGCAGTTTTAAGGAGAAAATATTGAGCAATGCTGTCGACTTATGAACTTACACATGGTGTGTCTTAAAGCAGATTAAAAACACCACATAGAGACATAATGACACATCCTGAATATTGCATACATACATTACACTCACATAAAGCGATATATACATTGGTGCAAGTTAATTTAATGAGATTCATAATGAGAATCATGTGGTTTTCACAACGCTTTAGTTTGGCGAAATGCTCTTATAACTGTTATATTCTGTGAATAGTGTGTGGGTGTTTGAGTTTATTACGAAGAACCAACGTATTATTCAAGTTATCCTGAAATATAATAAAGTTGTAGCTCAAAATCATGCCAGATCTAGTTCTGACTTAAACCAGTCATCTAACAATGCATTAACATTGTGTGCTTGTTTGAGTTGTGAGTCACTGTTTTGATTAGATGTTTTACAGCCGAAAAGACCATTGTGGGTAGTTTAGTGTAAACACTGATGGAAGGATAACATTTAAGCTCCTGTTTGTGTTTTGGACGATCGGATCACAAGTAGACGAGGCTAAATACAGGTGTAATCGGGTCTAAAAGGTTTTGAGCTTGTCCACTTTCCACAGGAAGTTGAAACACATTTGACCGGATTGCATTCGTAGTGTAAACGCTCATGTGTTCAAACAGCCGCTAAACACCGCCGTCTCTCCGTCTTCTGATCTAACGCCTGAACATTACGGGAAGAGCTCGAGTCAGACGCGGTTTAAACTCTCGGCTGGAGACACAAGTTTGGTTTGGAGAGGAAAGACGTACCAATCACAATGTTCTCTCATCATTCCTGATTTCTAACACACACACACACACACACACACACACACTCACAGCGTTCGGCTGGTCTCGCGTCTGTCAGAGCAGAAACTAAAGCTGATGTTCTCAGTGTGTTTCTCCGTCGTCTACGGTCGCGTTCATATGTAAATTGCGTGAGCTTATTTCGTCCATTAGATCGAAAGATCTTAAGAAACCCAAACATTTACCCGCCATAGACCCTCTCCTCGGAGAAATCCGGACAGAAGTGGGTGAAAGTGGACAAAAGAGACGGATTAAAACACCGGTGTGAACGGGAATGTGTCTCTCTCGTCTACTTGTGATCCGATCGACCAAACGCATCTTAAAGGGTTAGTTCACCCAAAAATGAAAATGATGTCATTAATGACTCTCCCTCATGTCGTCCCAAGCCCGTCAGACCTCCGTTCATCTTCGGGACACAGTTTAAGATATTTTAGATTTAGTCCGAAAGCTTTCTGTCCCTCCATTGTAAATGTGTGTACGGTATACTGTCCTTGTCCAGAAAGGAAATAAAGGCATCATCAAAGTAGTCCATGTGACATCAGTGGGTTAGTTAGAATTAGGGCTGGGTAAAAAATATAGATTTCTCGATATTAATCGATTCTCATTTTTACGAACCGATATCGATTCTTAAATCTCAAGAATCGATTAGTCATCCTGTTTTCAGTTGATGAATGAATGGATCATTGTAGCGCGCATCCCATCCAATAAATCGCAATAATATTTGTGCTTTGTTACTATTGATACTAAATAAAGTCTCAAATTACATCCATTTTCTTACGAAATTCAAAAACATAAATAGCGTTTTGGCGCTGTGGTGTGAGATCGCTCTGGCTCAGCTCAAGAGAAGCTCATGATCTCCTCTTCTGCCTTAATAATACCAGTTACAGCGCCAAATAAACATGAATGAGCGTCTGAAAGTGTGTTAAAGATAGAGTACAACTTATCGAAATCTGTATCATGTCACGTGGAATCGCTCAATCAGTGTTTCATCCGTGGAAAGACGTCAGTACAACGCTTGTAAACAATGTCATGTAACGTCACATTTACCTCAGAAAAACCAAATGTGACCATAAACTCGTTAGTCAGCTAGAAAAATGAACTCTAGAGAGGAGCATTTTGCTAAATATATGCACCATATTACATATTCATTATAATTTTTAACGTTCTTCGATATTTAATGCATGTTTGAATAAATCTGGCAAGTTTTTATGACAGCCACCAATTAAATGTTTATATTTCACATAACTTTATTATTATAAAAATAAATAAGTGTAATTTAAGTGTTTGTATAGCTACAAATCAGTTCATTTTTACATTCAATATTATAGTCGGCTAATGAAGCCTATAGGCTACAACTGACTCCCATAGTTTACAGCATTAGTTAAGAGATTTGTTTTCCTTGAGAGAATTTGCCATGTATTGTACCTGATATCCAAAATAATCCATATTGAATCGAATCGAATCGGAATCGGAATCAAATTGCAAGCTTGTGAATCGAAATCGAATCAAATTGTGAAATGTGTGTCAATACCCAGCCCTAGTTAGAATGTTTTGAAGCATCGAAAATACATTTTGGTCCAAAAATAACAAAATCTACGACTTTATTCAGCATTGTATTGTCTTCCGGATTCTTCCAGCATCTAAAATTTCTTAAACTGTGTCCCGAAGATGAACGGAGGTCTTACGGGCTTGGAACGACATGAGGGAGAGTCATTAATTACATCATTTATATTTTTGGGTGAACTAACCCTTTAAGACCAGCTGTAAACAGGGCCTTAGTTACCATAATGAAAGGCCATCTAGGGAAAGTTGTTTCTCTTAGTAGAAAAAGATTAAATATTGTATAAATAATAATACAAATAAAAAATTTACAATAAATACTAGTGGCAGAAAAGTGTAATCATAGCATTTTTTCATTGTGTACATTTTTCTTTGACTTTAGCTTGTTTCTTTTTTTTGAGGTGTTCATATGTTTCCATCTAAAGTTAGGAATTTAACTTATGCGCACAATTGAAATATGGCTTAAGACATTTACGAATTAAGCAGAGTTTCCATCCCAGGTGTTCAAGAGAACAAAATCATCACTCCCGTTTTTATTTCCGATATTTTGCGCCAATTTCCCAGGAAGCTGCTGCAATCGAGTTTCAGAGCGTCAGACGAAACCCGTTCGGATGCTGGTGTTCGGGAACGCACTCGTGTGAGACGCTTCTGGAGGGAATCAAACCAAATCATTCTGATCACACACTTTGACTCCGGCGCTTCAGAAACACCAAACCAACATGTGAGAGATGCTGCGATGCCATTGGTCCGCTGGTTACTCCAGTTATCCAATCACATCGAGGCAAAGTCACATGAGTTTCTTGTTGCGCATAGGATTTATTCGGTAAATGTTTTTCATAGTAGTTTATGCGCAAGTCTTATAATCGGATAATAAAGTATCCGCCTCCCTCAATTAAATGCATGTTTTAGAATTTATGCACATCTTGGCTTTTCCATCCATCGGTTTTTTTAAGGCAATAATCATATCAATAATCAATAATCGCATAATCATAGGTGGATGGAATCATAGCTGTTGACACCTTGCTCTGCTTTGGGAATTGTGGGATAGTGCAGTTAGTTCTTGTTTTTGGAGTTTTCCAGGTGTGCATTGATGCATTGTGGGTAATGTAGTCTTTCCTGTGGAGTCTGTGCAGTGCACTGTCAGCGGTTCTTCATGTTGCGGGTCGGCGAGGACTGGATCTTCCTCATCTTGCTGGGACTCGTCATGGCGCTGGTCAGCTTTGTTATGGATTTCTGCATCGCCCTCTTATTACAAGGTGAGTGTGTGTGTGTGTGTGTGTGAAGATGTCAGGAATTGACGCATAATATCTGTTTTTTTCAGTTGCTATGTCGTTTTTTTTCAGTGAACACTGGCCCACTAATAGAGGACAGTCTGAACATTAACCACAGCAATTTTGGAGTCTCTAACTCAACCGCTCTAGCGCCACCAACTGTCCAAAGTTGCAGTCATGTTTATGTTAATAACTTTTAAACCGTGAGGGCTAGAAACACTTGAAGATACCCTCACAGTTTAGGCACAGTGCAGGTCAGGAGATATGAAAAATGGCTATTTTTATATAACTTCTGAACATTTTGACTCAAGTGTCTTTAAATTTGATGCGGCATGCCGAGTCAAACAATACCCTATATTCCCATGTCGGCCATTTTGGGCGTCTTTAATTTTTGTCATGAAATGCTGTATTTTACGAATGCATTGGCGTACCATTATGAAACTCGTTATGTGTCTTCGACACAATGACCTGAAGGTACTCAAAAAGTTTTGAGGCAGTGTGGTAAAAAATTATAATGGAATTTTAATTGCTTTTGTTTAGTTTAGCCCAGTGGTTCCCAACCTTTTTTTGTCTTTTCCCAAGAAATTTATTTAGGGCCCCCCTTCACATTTAATGATATTATCGCTCTTGTAAGCTTGCAGCAAGGATGACAGAATATGTTGTTTTCAAACAAACGGTATGTTTATGCACAAATAATAGCCTATAATATTGAAAATACAATAAACAAAAACATCAGTAGGCCCTTTGTAATTTAAAAACGTAAGCCTAGGAGAAGCCTATAAATTGGCCCCATTTGAAATGCAAAAACAAAAATATTCACACTAGTGTGTAGGTTAACAAAAAAAGAAAAAAAAAAAGAATATAGGCTATTACTAAATGACTGTTGTCTGGGGCCTCAATACTTGCATGTTATTTGTGAGGCTTTATTTTTTAAGCTTTTGGTGCTTTATTAACAGAATAATGCGTCTTTCGGAAGAACATTGTAGCCCGAACTAGTTCTCTCTGTGTACGTCTATGACGAGTCACGCAGGTACTGGGCTACTCTGCAGCGGCAGCGATCCGAACCAGTGTAAAATAGTCCCAATTTAAACACTTATTATAGGTGTACCATAGTGGTTCAGGATAACACAAAAACAAGGATTGGAAAATTTATTCATGATGAATTCGCTCATTATATACATTTTGTAAATTTTGAACAGAAAAAAGTTAAGGACTTTTATTTAATACTCATTGCTGAAAACTTTTCAAAATATGACGCGACCCCCCACAGAGCTCGCTGAGGCCCCCTTGTGGGCCGCGACCCCCCTGTTGGGAACCGATGTTTAGCCTGTTGTCAATAATAACAATTATGCCATAATTGGCCAAACTTCCTGTCTGCCATTTTGATTTATGTGAATTCCTACTTTTTCAAACCCGATTTCCACCAGATTCGATTCGACTCGACTCAGAATCTGACTATGCTGGCAAGAAGATTTTTATGTCAATAGACAAAACTGTTTTCATTTACCGCATTAACGAATTTGATGGCATGATGCCAAACTGCATCTGAGGCCGTATCTCTGCAAGGCTTTGGCATATTGACACCAAATTTGGTGTGTGTAATTGTCACCCAACACTGACCACACCAAATAAATTTGGTGTTAGCGCCACCTATTGGTCAAAAGTAATAGGCAATTGTGTTACATTGAAAGTTATTGTGTTTATGGGTTTTTAACTATTCTAATGCAAATGCCTTTTACTTTCACAGTTGGTCTGATGTTCACCACTGATGTTTGCTCATCATTTTGCCCCTTAATTGTTTTCTTGTTTTAAGCACAAACTCACTTCATTTTAATGACTATTTTCAGAAAACAAAAATGTATATCTTACGTAATTTTGCTTCTAAGTAAATGAACCTTGATATAAGAGTTTTTAGATCTTTTTAATGGAAAACAACAAGACAAAGTGACTAAACAAGAAGTTTAGACTTTCGCAGTGTAGATACTTTGTCATTTATCTAATTGAAAGTTTATAGTACATACATGTACCCTGTACGTTTCTACTTGTGTGTTCTGCTTTCTACAGCTCAGAAGTGGATGTATGGTGGTTTGGACAGTAACGTCATCCTGCAGTATTTGGCTTGGGTCACTTATCCTGTGGTTCTCATCAGTTTCTCTGCAGGCTTCACACACATAGTAGCGCCTCAGGCCGCCGGTGAGACACACTTGCATTCACACACTCATAAGAGGTTTCTGTTCTTCTTCTTCTTCTTCATAATTTAGCGTTTATCTCTCAATCAGGGTCTGGTATTCCTGAAATGAAGACGATTCTCAGAGGAGTTGTGCTGAAGGAGTATCTCACGTTGAAAACGTTCGTGGCCAAAGTGGTTGGACTGACCTGCGCACTGGGCAGTGGTTTGCCTCTGGGAAAGGAGGTGAACATGCACAGATTCAGATACAGAGAATGTGTTTTTAGCGCGAGATCTAATTTACCTGCCCTAAGTGTGGTTGTAGCGTCTTTAAAGGGTTAGTTCACCCAAAAATGAAAATGATGTCATTAATGCCTCTCCCTCATGTCGTCCCAAGCCCGTAAGACCTCCGTTCATCTTCAGGACACAGTTTAAGATATTTTAGATTAAGTCCGAGAGCTTTCTGTCCACAACAGAACCGGAAGAGAATACAATGCTGAATAAAGTCCTAGTTTTTGTTATTTTTGGACCAAAATGTATTTTCGATGCTTCAACACACTCTAACTAACCCACTGATGTCACATGGACTACTTTAATGATGTCTTTATTTCCTTTCTGGACAAGGACAGTATACCGTACACACATTTACAATGGAGGGACAGAAAGCTCTCGGACTAAATCTAAAATATCTTAAACTGTGTTCTGAAGATGAACGGAGGTCTGACGGGCTTGGAGCGACATGAGGGAGAGTCATTAATGACATCATTTTCATTTTTGGGTGAACTAACCCTTTAAAGTGTTCCTACTTTGTTGCAGATTCATCACAAGCCTTATGTGTGTATGTTTTCTATCTTGTAGGGTCCGTTTGTGCACATTGCCAGTTTGTGTGCTGCTCTTCTCTGCAAATTCATGTCTTTCTTTGGTGGAATTTATGAGGTAATTACAAAGTTTCAAATCCTCCAATTTTAAGCAAACTCATTCGCAGTACACATAAATGGGTGAAGATCTTGGGTCATATTTTGTACCAAAGTGAAGTTTTGAACACTTGCTGCTATTGAGGTGGATTATGGGTAAGCAGGGCCTAAAAATAACTTTTTTCCCCACACCTGCCAGTGGCCGATGACTTAAGAAAATTTGCCAGCCAGCCATAAATAATGTTTTTCCCAGCCATGAAACTGTTTTTGCAAAAACAGGCAGTTATGACATTAAAATTGTAGATACCAGTGACAATTCTGAATTCTCTATTCAAATTTCAATACCACAGCTTAAACTACTAGCCTTAATAATATACATTTAAAATATTATTAAAGACAAGTAACAGTAGTTTTCAGGTAGAGGTATTGACTAAAGTAATCAAATGTAAATAACACTGGATAGTCTTCACTGTATAAATTAAACATCAATAATAATAAAAGTTGCAAAAGTTAAGAGCAGTGAGTGATTTTCTTTGTCCTTTGTTGCTTTATTAACATTAAAAAACACAGACAGCAGCAGGAATATTAGGCACCGATCCAATATACTGTTACACGTGTTTTATTTCTTAACTGTTTATGTTCACTTAAGCCATAACCGACTATGTTTACAAGGATGCTCGCCGAGACGGGCATTTTTGGCATATTTTTGTGTGAATTGTGCGCACAAAAC